TTCCCAAAAATTTGGAGTTGTACTTCACCAAAGTTTGGTGTAATGTACTTAGTTTATTTTTAAATTTCTTTTTATTTCATGTCTATGTTTTGCCTGCATGTTTGTAAGTGTACCATGTGCATGCAATGCCTGCAGAAGCCAGGAGATGGCAACAAATCCCCTGGAACTGGAGTTAAGAAAATGTGTAAGCCACCAGTGCATTCTGGGAAACAATCAGTGTCCTCTGCAGGACTCACTATGTGAATGCCTGGTGTGAGCAAGCCAAGGAGAATTTTAGATGCCTGGGGGATTGAGTTACACCATGTTGTGAGCTGTCACGTAGGTGTGGGGAAGTGAATCTGGGTTCCCTGGAAGAGCAGTAAGTGCTCTTAACTCCTGATCCATCTCTCTTAATGCCCTTGTGGAATATACACTACATTGTGAATCATATTGTACTACTGGAGCAGAAAGACTGGCTTTGGAAGTAGGGATACTCTCCACCATTTCAGATCCAAGCAAGTTAGTTTCAAAATGCACTCTAATGTCCACTGTTTGAGGACACCCCCCCTTCCCCAAGCCTGTGACAGAAAGGAATGAGAACAAAGCATCCCAAGACTAATAGCATTCTGTTCCTGAAAATAGCAAGAACATAAACCACTTGCAACAGAGGTTACTATTGTCTATCCCTATGACATAAAGTTGCATGAAGTGGGAAAGAGCAGCTGATGCTTAGCCATGGGAAGCTCATTCATTGGAGAACTCACAAGTGCAAACTCCTGCTAATGCTTCAACCTCCCCAGTCACCTTATCCTGGGTGTTGTGAGCACCTGACTTGATGTTCTCTCTGTTGCTACTGTTCTTTAATTGGGAGACTCAGCAGAAGTAATACTTCCCTGCCCAGGGCTTGTAATCATTGTGAACTCTGCTGGCTGCTTTCATGGTACTTTCCCAGTCAGTTTTAGGTGGATGTTTGTAAGTCTCTGACTTGATGATGTGCTCTTTCTGCTGTAATTTGTTCTTTCACTTGGAAGCCTCACTTGAGGGAACATGTTGCTCTGCCAGGACTCTTCATCAGGAATCCCAGCTGACTGCCTCAGTGAGGATTCCCCAGTACATTTCTTATGGAATTTTAAGTACCCATTATGATGACTTGCTATCCATCTATCTATCTACCTACCTACCTACATCCTACTAAAATATTGATTTCTGACATCTCTGCTTTTACTTTGGTTTGCTATATAGTTAATACACTCACTCAGTTAAAACCAAGAGAATAGCTATCACAGATAATTCTCTGGATGACACAGAACATTTCTTAAAGATAATAAACCTTTCAAAATTCAGTAGCAGTTATAAATCATACTAAATTTTTAATACTTCCATATACTTCTAAATTGTACATATGATGATTGAGGCATGTCAAAAATACTCATCTTGACCAGGTGTGGTGGCACAGGCCTTTAATCCCAGCACTCAGGGGGCAGACCTAAGAACAACTCTGAGTTGTACTACATAATGAGTTCCTTGTCAGCCAGAGTTAAATAGTGAGACCCTCTCTTAAACAACAACAAAAAACTTCCAAGGGAAAAAAAAAACAAACTAGTTAATACTTGAGTGATGGATTAATATAATTATTAACCCTGAGATCATATAACAGGTTTTAAATTTTTTTTTATTATTTCTATTTTATATGTATGAGTGTATTGCCCCCCTGTATGTAAGTGCACCGTGTTGTGCAATGCCTGAGGAGGTCAGAAGAGGCCATCGGATCCCCTGGAGCTGGAATTACGGACAGTTGTTAGCTGCCATGTGGGTGCTGGGATTCAAACCTGGGTCTTCTACAAGAACAACCAGTGTTCTTAACTGCTGAGCCATCTCTCCAGCCCCACAGTTTTTCTTTTAAGCATATTTGTTTACCTTGGATTAGATATTGGAGGTGTGGTAGAGAGCAGATAATTAATAAAATGAACACAGAAAACAAACAAGGATCCTGAATGAAAATAGATAAAGATATAGTATATGTGCTGGATAGCATCAGTTGCGAACTTGACACACCTGGGTGGAGGGGATGACACCTGAGGAATTTCCTCTATTGGACTGGCCTGTGACCACCTCTGTGGGGCATATTTTTTTTATTGTTGAGTGATGTGGGAGGGCCCAGCCCTCTGTGGGCTGCGTTACTCCTGGACAGGAAGTCCTATAATGTGTAAGAAAGCAGGCTCAGCATGGGCCAGGGGGCCAAACTAGTAACCACTGTTCCTCCATGGTCTGTGCTTCAACTCCTGCCTCCAGGATGTTGCCCTGTGTTCCTGCCTTGGCTTCCTTCTATGATGTCCTACTAGGACAGAATTCTAACAACCAGCTCAATTCTAAACCAATGACAATCGACCAAACCAAGGAAGGTCTAAGTCCAATAAAGAACCAATCAACATCCAACATCCATCTGAGGAGGCAATGCAGAATAGTTGGACACACTAGTAAGAGATTGTTCTACCCCATATAGGCACAAAAAGTATTGATAAAAATGATACGTCAGAGCTAGAGAGATGACTCAGTGATTAAGAACACATATTGCTCTTACAGAGAACCTGTATTTGATTCCCAGCACCCAAATGGCAGCTAACAATTGTGGATAATGCCACTTCCAGGGTATCTGATGACATCCTCTGGCCACCACAGGCATTGCACACTTGGGTATACTTATATACATGAAGGCAAAAGACTCATAAATATTAAAACAAAAAACTCACTACCACCATCCACAAAAAATCTTCTACCCTCAAAAGGAATATGAGATGCCTTAGTTACTCTTCTCACTGCTGAAGCAAAAACAATGGGAAGAAGTGTTATAAGAAAAGAAGGGCTTATCCTGGCTGATATTGTCAGGGGATACATCCCATTACAGTGGGAAAGGCATGGTGACAATAGTGGAGTTCGCACTGCATCTGTCAGCAGGAATCAGGGAGCAAACTGGAATTTAGGCTCTCTATAAAATCTCATAGCCAGTCCCTAATGACCCACATCCTCTATCAAGACTATTTCATAAAGATTCCACAATATCTAAAAACAATGTCACAAGCCTGGGACCAAGTGTTCACACACTTGAAAATATGCGTGTTTCATTGTTGCACAGAACTGTCCTCCGACAGACCATGGGAAGATGGCATCTTCCCAAGGTGGGTGGCACCCTCTTGCCTAGGATCATCACTGCTAAGCTTGTTGACTGCTATGCTATGGAAGACAGGATGAGCAGGGTGAGTCAGCCTCAATTCCAGTCAACCAGTTGGCCCTAGTTGGAGGAAGGGAAGGGGCTAAGGGTATATAAACAGTGGAAGCCATAGGGAGGGTCTTTTGCCAGTTTGTGAGTCTGTGAGGAAGTCAAAATCCACGCTCGAATGAAGACTTCCCTGTGTGGCCTTAGAAGAGGTACAATCACATTTCTGTAAGTCAGTCTTCACCGATTGCTCTGGAGTAAGCCCAATAAACTCACTGGTTTCCTGTGCTGTAGCCTAGCAAAAATAAGCTTCCATTTGTCATAGTGACCAAGGGAGGAGCCAGTTTGTGAGTCTGTGAGGAAGTCAAAATCCACGCTCGAATGAAGACTTCCCTGTGTGGCCTTAGAAGAGGTACAATCACATTTCTGTAAGTCAGTCTTCACCGATTGCTCTGGAGTAAGCCCAATAAACTCACTGGTTTCCTGTGCTGTAGCCTAGCAAAAATAAGCTTCCATTTGTCATAGTGACCAAGGGAGGAGAGAGAAGAGAGAGACCATCCCAGAAGTAATTTTAGCTATACATATTCAAACCACAATATAAAATTAATTCTAGAACCAAATATGAGTGAACCAAACATGTGTGGCCAAGGAACACAGATTCAGCTTACCTCAAACCACAGATTCCCAAGTCATTACAGTAGCATGACTTTTCCTCCCTTTCTGTAGTAACAGAATGTTATATGCCAAGGCAATATTAGATACATTGGTGGTAACATCAGGTAGGCATATATCTTGTCAGGTGTGGAGATCTCTACAATGGAATTCAAAACCGATTTGATAACATTATTGGACTTTGGGTGGGTGAATAGTAGGGAGGAAGAACATTGGCTGTGACACCCCCCCCCCAGAGAGACGTGTGAGTGTCAGGAATAGATTATGTAGTGTCAGAGTTCAGGGCAGAGGTTCCTTCCTTTTGGCTTTCCCTGGCTCATTTGGAAAGGGAAGAGTCTTGGAAGCAGGATAAGAATCCCTGTATAAATGGTACCTCCAACTGAATGCCTTGTCTTTTAGAAAATAAATCTTTATTGAAATATGTTGTAATTACTGTGTCATTAAGTGGATATTACTCTCCCTGTTCAAATTCTATTGTGGCTATGGCTAGAATTGTAGAAAAAAAAAGGCAGTACCTCTTTAAGATATCATGGTCAAACATATATCTAGATGTTATGACAGCACAGATATGTAAGCCAATTCATCCCTTATGAGCTGGCAAAAACACCATATATAGTACCCATGTCTATCAGTGACAGGTGCACATGTACCCTCACAAGTATGAACACTGCCACAGGCCTCTTACGAGCATTTCCAGGCAAGTGAGGAACAGGTAAAGCCGCCAAGAAAGCTTTCATCTAACTTGGTGTTATGTAATTGACCCTGACAATGCTACTCATTTCACAAATGCTGATGCACAGACCTCAACTAAAGGCAATCAGTTGCAAACATATACCCCCCTTTCTCAAAAAAATACTAGGGCTAGTTTTTTTAAAAAATTTTTTTAATGAGCTATTAGTAGTAAGTGCGTTGCCACAGGCCTTTAATGCTAGCTACATAGGAGGCAGGGGCAGGTAAGTATCTGTCGGGAGCCGTAGGCCCCTACCCCAGGAAATAGCAAGACCTGATTTCTGGCAAAGCTGTTTTTCAGACATCAAGGCTGGCCTGGTTTGAGATTAACCAGATGACTATACTTGAAAGCCTCTCACAAACATGTTGTTCTAACCTGGGCACTTAATCTTGCATGGAGCCAGGTGCAATGCAGGTTGCTGAGGGAGAATTGTCACAAACAGTCCTGCTGCTCAGCTATAAACCCCAGATGCTCCAGTACCAACAGGACAGGCAGAATATGCCTGTGGTACAATAGTGGCACAACTACTGTTTGAGTTCAACAAGCAGCTTTCAGATTGGATTCACAGCCCACTCCACAGGAGAAAATTTGCATCTGATATTATAAGCCAGGAACAAAACTATGGCCAGAGTGGTCATAGGTCCTAATAGCGAAACAATTGCTACTGTTTTGTTAGGTGGATGTGATGTGTCAAATTCCCTTCTTGACATTTCATTTCATGCCTTGTCACTGCTATTGTCAGCTGCAATCCGTCATGCAAGGAAACTTCCTTTCACAATGGATGGACGTTTGCAACTGATTGCCTTTAGTTGAGGTCTTTTCACCACAAAGACTCAGAACCAATGATGAAGATCCTGAGAAATAGTATTGCTCTGTCACACTGGCCATAAATGTTAGCCATGGATGGACATTTGTATCCGCACAATCTCCACCCTCAAGGATCTAAAAGCATTACAAAAACAGGTAAGAGCCAGAGAAAGGGGTGGACTGTTGTGGATCAATTTCCTTGCAATCATCGACACAGTCCCTCTCAAGGGGAGACACCAAGTAAACAAGTTCTGAAAAGTTCAAATTTCCAAGACTCAAGGCCATCCACAAGGTTATGAAGCAGTAAACAACTGTGAAAAGATGAAATTCCCCAACTAACCAAGCTACATGCCAGTTGGACAGAGATCTTAGATTGCAGCTTCCATGAGTCATCACTTAGGCTGGATGTGCTTTTTGGTGATGCAGCTGTCTGTGATTGTCCATGCTCCTGGAAGCAACCCCCATAACATCCTTGGTTTGCGGAACTGAACTTTGGTAGAATTTCATTTTTGTGTGATGAATTTCCTATCTCAGGAGAGTAGACATTTGCTCAGGTATCCTGAAGAAAATGCTACCACTACACTGCTGCTGTGGAAATTGCAACATCTGGATCCTTGCCCCGTTACTTCTATTCTTAGAGATTTGAGAGTGAGGTCTTATTCATAATTGAAGTGAGCTCATATACAATATTAATAACTCTTATATTTTACATTTCTAGGAATTTTCTCCAATGAGTTATTTGATATTGAAAGAACACTGGTGTGAAACTGCTCTGCCATGTAATTTAGGAATTTTAACAACTATAGGCATTGTTCACATCCACAGGGCTCTTTGTCACAATTACTTTGCTCTTTTAATTGAACTGTGACATGTAAAGGTTTCCACATTCTTTGCATGGACAGTTTTTCTCCAGTATGAATTTTTTCATATAATTTAAGTATACCATATGTAGGATATATATTATTTTCACTCATTGGGTTTTGGTCTACCATGAATTTTCATATAAAAGAAGGTAACTGCGACATCTAAAGGCTTTGCCATCCTATTTGGATTCATAGGTTTGCTAAAATATGAATTCCTTCATGTAAGAAGACTGTGACATCTAAAGGCTTTTCCACACTGTTCCTATTCACAGGGCTTTTATCTAGTATGAACTTTCCATGTCTTTGAACGTCACTGTGACAACTGAAGTCTTTAGCGCATTGTTTACATTTGTAGGGTTTCTCTCCAGTTTGAATTTTTTCACATACTTGAAGGTAACTGTATCATGTGAAGGCTTTACCACATTCTCTACATGCATAGGGTTTCTCTCCAGTATGTGTTTTTTTTATGTCTTTGAAGATCACTGTTACATAAAAAGGCCTTACCACATTATTTACGTGCATAGGGTTTCGCTCCAGTACGTGTTTTCTCATGTCTTTGAAGATGACTATTACATATAAAGGCTTTACCACATTGTTTACATTTGTAGGGTTTCTCTCCAGTATGAATTTTTTCATGTACTTGAAGGTAACTGTATTGTGTAAAGGCTTTACCACATTCTCTACATGCATAGGGTTTCTCTCCAGTATGTGTTTTTTCATGTCTTTGAAGATGACTCTTATATTTAAAGGCTTTACCACATTCTCTACATGCACAGGGTTTCTCTCCAGTATGTATTTTTTCATGTCTTTGAAGATCACTATCATAACTAAAGGCCTTAGCACATTGTTTACATGTATAGGCTTTTTCTCCAGTAATATTTTTTGCATGTGCTTGAAGGAAACTGTACTGACTATAGTCTTTATCACATTCTTTACATTCATAGGATTTTTCACCACTATGAATTCTTTCATGTCCTTGAAGAGAAGTGGAAGAACTGAGTTGTTTCCCACATATATTACACTGAAAATGCTTTCTTAGCATTTGAGTTCTTCAAATGTATGACGTGAACCTCCATAAGCAGAAGCCTTTCTATATTCTTTGTATTGATGGAGGTCTTTTGCACCAAGTGTTTCCAAATCTGTTACCAACACACTTTGGAAATCAAAATAATTTAAAAATTTCTTATTTTCAAAAGGTCCATACACAGTGTGAGTTCTCATATGTCTTTGACAGCTTGTGAGAGAGTGCAATTTCTGCTGCTCGTTTCCATGCTCCTCACGCTCATATAGTTTGTACTGAGAGTGAGACGTAGGATGATTATTAAAGGAAGAATGACACATGAAAACCTTCCCACACACATTGCCATCACATGGTGTTAGGTCACTAGAAATTTTCATGATCATATTGGTATTTGCTATCCAAGTAAAAGTTTCTCCATGCTGAAGATCTTTATGCTCACAGAGTGTCTCGAACATGGAAATTCTGTAAAAATGACAAGTGTATTAGTAAAGGTTGATTTACTATTTATTATAAAGAGTAAATCATATACTATTCCCAAAATTAGGTAAAGTGTGTCTTCTGCCATAGCTGAATGATTGGAAAGTAAATTGATTCATAATTGTACAATATGATTTCCATGAGGCCATGATAAAAGAGTGACATTTGTTAACATGAGATCCTAGTACTGTCTGCATGTAAATGCCCAGCAAACACTGAATAGGATTCTTTTTTAAAAAAATATTTTATTTATTATTTTATTTTATGTGTATGAATATTATGTCTGCATGTAGGTAAGTGCACCCATGTCATGCAATGCCTGTGGAGGACAGAAGAGGCTGTTGGATTCCCTGGAACTGGAGTTACAGACAGTTGTTAGCTGCCATGTGGGTGCTGGGAATCAAACCTGGGTCTTCTGGAAGAACAGTCAGTGTTCTTAACCGCTGTGCCATCTCTCCAGCCCCCTGAATAGGATTCTTAAGCTGAGGTACATGTTACATTTCCTAAGGATAATAAAAAAGCAAAGTTGTGCTTACTGATTATTTATTCATAAATGCTCACATAAAAATACCTTCAATGGGGGGAATGGAGAGATGGCTCAGCTGTTAAGCACAGTTGCTGCTCTTCCAGAGAACCAGAATGTGGCTGCCAGCACCCAAGACAGATAGCTCACAACCTCTTGTAAATCCAGCTCCATGAGTCCAACTTCAGACCTCCTTGAGCACATGCCCATAGGCAAAGCCACGCACACACACATACACGTGTGCGCACACACACACGCACACACACACACAAAACACATGCAAACTTGCACACAAATAAATAATAATGTAAATACAAAATCTTTTAAAAATTAAAGAAACTTTCCTTCTTTTTTCAAATTACCTGAGATTTTTTCCAGAACTTTTATAATGTTCTTTAACATTCTCATCTTCACAATTGTTTCCTAAAATGTAGTCAACGAGAATTTTGATGAATTAGAAATTACCGAAAACTTACTTTGTAGCTTTAGCCTCTATGAACCATGCCTGATTTATACACCACATTCTTCCCTTTCAATATTCCAAAGCAGAGAAGAGCATCACCTCCAAGAAATACTTGTTCCTTAGCAACCTAAGGGAAGAGAGGACGATATTCTTACCTATAAAAGTGAGGTTCCTGCAGGTTTCCAGCATCACATCAATGTAGAGAGTCTTCTGAGAAGGGTTCAGCATAGCCCACTCTTCCTGGGTGAAGTTCATGGCAACATCCTCAAATGTCACAAAATCCTAAACATTCCATAAACTGAGTTGATGATATGATCACCAGATTCTGTGCTATCCATACATTTGGTTCCATGACACGGAAGTTCTAATGCAAGCTTTGGGTGGTTCTGAAGAACAGAGCACTGGAGGGACACTGCTCTCATTACTGTGCACAGGGCATAGGATGTGCTGGGCTCTGTCCCAATTCTCTTTCTACAGCACATGCCTACTTCCTGTCTTAAGAAGGTCTGACCACCTGATGTACAGAACAGAGGGCAATTAGCATGCAAGAGCCTGCATGTCCTTAAAAAATCCTGCTCACAATGTTTAAGGATAGACAGCGTGAGGAAATTTGATATTTGGAACATATTGCAGAAACATAAATGACAAATCACCTCGCTAAATGAGTTATACAAACTCTATGGTATATTCTGAACTGTTCTCATCCAGAAAGTCTATTAATCTATTCAAAACTCAGAGAGATAAGTATAAAGGATCTCTCCCTCTGCCCCGAAGAATAAGAGGCAGTGAGTGTAATGAGCTTCCCTGCTGGGCACAAATTCACACATATGGTGACAACTTGTTAAGTGGGGAAATGAGCCCATTCTATGTGCATTCAGAAAAAATAATGTATATGCTGCTATAAGTAGTTTACTCCAGCACAATCAAAAACAAATATTTTACTTATTTTTATTTCATGTGTATGAGTGGATTCCCTGTATGTATGTAAGTGCACCCATGTTGTGTGATGCCTTCAGAGGTCAGAAGAGGGCATTGGATTTCCTGGAACTGGAATTACCAACAATTGTTGGATGCCATGTGGGTGCTGGGAATAGAGCGGAGGTCCTCTGCAATAGAAGCCATTGCTCTTTATCATTGAGCCATCTCTGCAGCCCCTCAAGCACAATGTTAATCAAATAATGTATATGATACAGTTAGTATTTAAAGACCCTAAAGAAAAAAAAAAACCAAAATTTTTGAGGTAATGCCAAATGTGAATAAATTAAGTATAAAGGTGACATGTGCTTCAGAAAGAACTCAGTGCAGTCAGTCACGTTGACGTGTGTGTAGTCAGTTGTGACAGAGAATGAAAACAGAAGGGTCACATGAGCGCAGGACTCCAAGTCAGCCTACGTAACGCAGGAAAACATCCTTCTCAGGAAGAAAAGAGGTAGGGAAAAGGACTGGGATGGGGAACGACAGGAAGCAGGGTCACCAAACTTCATGCTTTCATTTTATACTATCAAGAGAAAATTCATTAATTGCCAGACCAGACAATTTTGTACTGAATAAAAAACTGACTAGGATCAGCAAATGTCTAGCAACTGTCAAAAATCAAAGAATAAGATAGTGATGTTTTTGCCTAACGCACTTGAAGGACTACCAAAAAATAAGGTAAAGACAAAGGGCCAAAATTAATTGTCATACTTAAAAAACAAGGCCATGGCGTCTAGGGAGTTGACTCAGTATGGAAAGAGCTTGCCACAAAAGTGTGATGAACTGGGTTTGATCCCTAGGACAAAAAGATCAAAATAGAGAACAGAGAAAAATATTGTTCCCGTGACAATTGTGACATGCATATACTCATATACATACACATTATACACATAATAATATTTTAAAACTTAAAAAATAATCAGGCCTTCAACATTTGTAACCTGACCCTTAGTGACCAGTGACCCTTGACATAGTGCACACGAATCTTCAAACTAATTCCTAAGATAAGCACTCATAAACAAGTTAAAATGTTCAACTTCAGTCTAAACGAAATGACATGAACTGCAGCAGTACACCAGGTAAGGACACTGATCTGAGAAAAATCACAGTTGGCCCGGCCTTGACTTCCCCAGAAGACTTCTCCACAAGACCAACGCAAAGCTACTGTCTTTGTGAACGTCACCTCCAGATCAGTCCAGTTTTCCATCCAGACACCCAATAGGTGGTTCCAAAATGAAACTGGGTTTCACTTCCATGGGGCAGAAAACCACCGTTCTAAATGCGATGCCATTGCTTAGAGTTTTGAGAAAAGCTCCTTTCACATAACTAGGAGATCTGTCACCCCTACACCTGCCTTTTCATTGACACTAGACATACTTGGGACTTATGATGGATCTTGCACCCTCCATACCCTGATGTGGTGGAAGACTCAAAATTTGTATAAATTTGAACCTCAGACCTTCTCATGGGCAGATGGTACCATGTCTATTCATGATACCAGAGTATGACATACCATGTCATACCAGAGTATGACACTCAAAAGAAATGATTCTATCAAAGTCTCGTTTAGTAAATGTATTGAAATTACTTACAAATGGGTGAGGAGTTACTTACAGGGCCATGATTGACAGAAAGACAGCTGTAACTTTGAAAAATCCCCTTACCATGTGTAATGCCTCACAAAAGCTTCATCTAGAAAGGTTCCTGAACAACTACTGGGGAACTTCAATGCCAGAGACTCAGCATATTCAGTATTTGTTAGTGTTTATTATTTTTTTTAATTTTATTATTATTTTTTATGTGTATGCGTATATTGTCTGCATGTAGGTAAGTGCACCCGTGTTGTGCAATGCCTGGGGAGGACAGAAGAGGCTGTCAGATCCCCTGGAACTGGAGTTCCAGACAGTTGTTAGCTGCCATGTGGGTAGTGGGATTTGAACCCAGGTCTTCTGCAAGAACAGTCAGTATTCTTAAGCACTGAGTCATCTCTCCAGCCCGTGGTTACTTGATTTTTAAATGGGAACAATTCTAACCTTCCTATCATGATGTGGGTGTTAACCTAGACAGCTTCTTTAATATCTGTCGTTGCGTGTACTTCACAAGTGCCCTTCACTGTTTGCTGTGGAGCCTGTGAAAGGGTGAGACACTCACCTCAGTTTACAAGACAGGTGTCAGAATGATATAACAGAAAAATTACAACAAATTCATCACAGAAACTTAAAAAATAATCTCAAATCTTGTCAGGAGGCACAAAAAAGCCCAGGACAGCCAAAATAATTCTCAACAATAAAAGAACTCTTAGAGACATTACTATCCCTAATCTCAAATATTACAGCAAAGCTATAGTGATAAAAACAGATGGCACTAGCATAAAGACATGTTGATCAATGGACTAGAAGTGAGGACCCAGGTTTGAGTCCACATAATTATAACAACTTGATTTTTGACAGAGGAGCCCAAAATACACACTGGAGGAAAGACAGCATGTTCAAAAAATTGTGTTGGTCAAACTGGATTGCTACATACAGAAGAATGAAACTAGATCCCCATCTCTCACCATGTACACACCTAACTCCAAATGGATCAAGGAATTCAACATAAGACCTGATACTCTGAATCTTCTAAAGCAGAAAGTAGGGAATATACTGGAATTAACAGACATATGTTTTTGAACAAGACTCTTAATGCACAGGCATTAAGTCCACAACTGACTAATGTGATCTCATGAAACAGAAAGACTTCTTTCTGTACAGCAAAACACAACATCATGTGAGTGAAGAGGCAATGTCCAAAACAGGAAAAAGCTTTTCCAGCTGTGTCTGACACAGGGTTAATATCTAAAACATACAAAGAACTAAAAAAACCTAGGCACCAAAAAACAAACAACCTAATTAAAAATTAGGGCAAAGAATTAATGAGAGTTCCTAAAGATGAAACACAAACAGCTGGGAAATATTTAGAAATTGTTCAACATCCTTAACCATCTGGAAAATGCAAATTAAAACAACTTTGACATTTCATCTTACCCCAGTCAGAATGGCTAAGATCCAAAACATAAATGATGACAAACTCTGGCAAAGACGTGCGAAAGAGTAACCCTTATTCATTGTTCATGGGAGGACAAACTAGTGCAGTCACTATGGAAACTTTTGTGGAGATTCCTCAAAAAGCTAAAAATATATTACCCAAAGGACTCTATATCCTACTACAGAGATATCTGTTCAACCATGTTCACTGCTGCTCTATTTACAATAGTCAGGAAATGGAAACAATCTAGATGTCTATCAACAGACGAAAAGAGAATCAAAGAATGTTTACAGATGGAGTATCTTGAGCTCTTAAGGAAAAAGAAATTATGAAATTCACAGTTAAATGGATGGAACAGGAAACAACTGTCTTCAGTGAGGTGACCAAAACCAAGAAGACAAAAGCCCCGTGTTCGCTCTCATAAGTGGACGGTAGCTTTGAATCCTTAGATATGCATGCTGCAATTGGAGAATCTAAAGAGACCAGGAAACTAGTAAATGACTATGAGAAAAAAAATAATGGAGCAGGAAGGGTTAAAGGGGGCAGGGAATGGGAGGGCAGCACACAGGAGGGAGCAGGGGAGGGATGACTAGCACCCAGTCCTTTAGAAAGTCATACAGCCAGGCATGGTGGCACAAGCCTTTAATGGAAGCACAGGGAAGGTGGGGGCGGGGTGGGGGGTTGGGGGAGGGGCAGAGACAAGTCGATCTCTGTGAGATTGTGGCTAGCCTAGTCTACATGGGGCTACAGGAAGACCCTGTTTCAAAAACCAATAACAAAACAAAAAAGTCATATGGAAACCCACCACTATGGAATCTTCTTAAAGTATATACATATATAATATAAACAGATTAAAAAGGGTTACCCTATAACAGGGAGACGTCATGCACACTAGACACCATAAGCTAGAAGAGAAAAAGTACAGCTCCAGGAATGGACCTCTTGTCTGCTTTTTAATATTTTATTTATTTTTTTATTTTATGTATATGAGGATATTGTGTGCATGTATGTAAGTGCACCTGTGTCTTACAGTGCCACTAAGGTCAGAAGAGAGTGTCAGATCCCCTGAAACTAGAGTTACCAATTGTTGTTAGCCTCCATATATATGCTGGGAACCCAGCCTGGGTCCTCTGCAAGAGCAGACAGTGCTCTTAACCACTGAGTATCCCTCCAATCCCCTTTTAAAAATGTATTATTTTTATTGAAATTTTCTGGATTTCATACATCTTAATCATATTTAGAACCTATACCGAAGAAGACACAAAAATTACTTCTAGAGG